GAAGCAGAAAGACACAGGTTTAATGCCTGGAATACCTTACCACATGGTGTGACGTTGGACAAGCTGTAAATACTCTCAGGTCCCTATTTCTTCATGTAGGGGTCTTTTTTTTCCTAAAGAAATAATTAAGGAAGTGGACAGGGAATGACCCACGGGCATGTTTGCTGCAGCACAGATGATAACCTAGAACGAATGTTTAAGACATATATGAAAATATATACACTAAAATGACAGAAGAGAGGTTTTAAATGAATGCTGGAATCCCAGGGTTGTTTCTTCATTCTCTTTTTTCTAATTGTTTGGATTTTCTGCTCTAAGCATGAATTATTTAAATAATAATGTTCAACCTTGTTATTTGTCAAAAATGCAAATTCAGATACTAGGGTGGTATTTTCTCTAATCAAAGTAACAGAAAAATAATTGTTATCCCCAACAATTGCAAGGGTGGAAGAAAATGGCCTTCTTGTACACAAACTGAGTGTAAAATGGTTTCTCATATCTTACAGTCGCCTAGCAATACACATTACAAACCTTTAAACCACTCATTTTCCTTTGACCCAGCAATCCAATTTCCAGGAACAAATCCTAAGAAACTATATCAAAAGTGTGCTACAGTGCAAGTATAACATGTTCATTCCAATTTTACTTATAATAGCAAAAAGACCATGAACAATCAATGTATAAACACACACACACACGCGCACACACACACACACACATCTGTTTTTAAAACAAATATAGGATCATACTATAGTGCTCTACAGCTTTTTTGTAGCATTTATCATTAATTAGTGGACACCATTCTATATCAATATTTGTTAATTTATCTAATTCTTTGATGGCTACAAAACTCCCATTGTCTAGTTTTACTGCAATTCATTTGAGCAAATGCATCACTGAATACACATGCACTTCAAGTTTCCACTGTACCAGTTGTTGTGTATATACTGCAGTCCACTTGGATGAATCTATCTTTAGGATGAGTCCCAGAAGGGAGTGTGCCAGGAATGGAAGCTTAGCACATTACTAATTGAGAGATATTGAGTGTTAGGAGTTTCTTATAGACCTCTAAATCTCCTCCCTCCTCCTTCTAAAGGAGTAGGGATGGTGGCACAAGCTGCTGGGGCTCAACACAGATGCCTCTCATGCACTGCAGATGCATGCTCTACTGCTGTCCCTCCCCAAGGCTGACTGTTGGACTTCCCCCAACTGTGGATGGGGTTGGTGGTTGTGGGCAGTAACTCTTCCATGTCTGGCCCATCTGCAGACCCACAGGGACAGTACCCCAGGCCTGGAGAAGGCCAGACTGGGAAGAACATGGCACTTCCCACCATCATCACCTCCTTCTGGAGCACACACCTACACTCAGCACGTGAATCTGAAACCTTCTGTCCCTCAGGTATTGGAAAGGGGCTCAGGGCATCACTCACCCACTGCCCAGCATGGCATCGTGTCTGTGCCTCATGCTTAATTACTGCTGGTCCAGGTAGCATTTCCTACATTCCTCCCATCAGAATTCTGGACGGTCTGCCCAGAGCTCACCTGTGGCCTGGCCCAGGGTGCAATCCTGACACCTGCTCCACTCCAGACTGGGCACAGTTGCCTGTCCCCACTCTTGATTATTATATATGACCATGGCAAACAGGTAAGCTAAGAGTCTTTTTTTCCTCTGCTATGGTGAGGGAGGAGGAGGGAGGGGTGACAAGTGGTCCTAGCAACAACACTATTACTGCCAGGTGTTAATTCTACCAAGAATTAGGTGCCCTTATGCTAGGATTTAAATAATAATGACAAGATAGTGGTACTGGCCAATTCTCAGTGACTGAATTACTTGTAAGGAGCAGCTATCGCTGTGTCATAAAATAAATAAAATGAAATCTTCACAATGATACAAACAAGGGCTTGGCAGGACCTACACATCCTTGATCAGGGTGTTTGCTCTATACTAATGTTGCCTGAAGACGAGGTTACCCAAAGCTCGTGGCATTGGGCAAATCAAGGTTTCTTTTTCAGTTCAGATTCCAAGCTCTTACACAGAAAGTCCTTCCTCTCCCCTCTATCTCCTTCACAGTGTCCTAGAGAAACTTGATCCTACACAGAGAACACAGCTGCTGCCAACAGACAAACACCAAAGTCAGGGAGACAGTGGCTGCTGACAACCTTTCCAAGAGATAACAGGAAATGACCAAGAGCCAATGAAAGTGCTTTACCTGAAGAAAAACAGGAAGCTGAGATTAGAGCTCAGTTTATGCTGACTGCAGAGTGTGAGAGTTCACTCTTTCTCAATAAATCTTTATATCATCCACATAAAGATCAGAGTTGTAGGAGCAGCTCCTGTTAGATATTAAAAGTGGTTATTCTTAAATGCTCATGAATGGATGGATGAATAAAACAACTGTGATATATATACACAATGGAATACTACTCAGCTACATAAAAAAAGAAATCCTATCATTTGCAGCAACATAGATAGAACTGGAGACTATTATGTTACATGAAGTAAGCCAGGCACAGAAAGCCAAATACCATATGATCTCACTCATATGGAACCTAAGGGGGAAAAAAAAGTGGTTTTTGCAGAAATAGAGAGTAGAATAATAGTTACCAGAAGGCAGGGGGTGGGGGTGTGAGGTGGAGGTCACACAGGGAGGAGGAGTGGTGGACTAATGAGTACAAACTATGCCCTCTACCCAAAGTGAATCATTGTGCGGTATATGGATGTTTTAAAACAACACACTGTACCCCACAAATAAGTACAAGTAAATCTTAAAAAAAGTGGTTAGCCCCAATTGGTAAGATCAAGGAATAATTATATATTCTTTATACTTGCCTCTATATAGGCTCTATGTCTTATCTGTAGGAAAGAGGGGGAGAGGGAGGAAGATCGGGCAATTCTATTCCTGCCACAGGGGATCTTTCTAACTCTCAAAGAATGTGTGCTTGTCTAAAGGTAACCTTCAGGATCTGGGACCAGTCCTGGACATGCAAGAACAGAAAGGTTTTTTTTTTTTTTTTTTTTGGTGGGTTTGGGGGGGGGGGGGGGGCAAGGATGGGTAGGGCAAGTGCCTTTCTGTCCTGCAGGCCCCCACCTGCCTTTGCTTGCCCAAAGCAGGAACAGTGGGCTGCTGTCCTTCCTCCTGCAACATACCTCCCCTCACCCTACCCCTTCTGTGACAGCAAAGGACCAGACCACCCTAGGTTATGGTGAAACGCTTTGAGGTGTACCAGGTGCAGGAGACCCACAACCCTGAGGACTGCATTTTATCTGCTGGGTTACGCCTGGAGAACCATGCGTCTTTAGAGCCTGCTATGGTCTGAATTTTCATCCCCTCCAAAGCTCATGTGCTTGACTCCCAATATGGCAATGTTCTGGGGCCTTTGGGAGGTGATTGGATGATGGGGACTGTGCCCTCATGAATGGGAACACGCTGGCTGCAGGAGGACAAAGCACACTTATTGTCTGAAAGGAAGGTAGGTGGTGTGGTAGCCCTGGTGAACTTCTGCAAAACTTCCCTCTTCTTTTGGGATCATGCTGCACATACCGAATGCTGCATAACCAGCTGTTTCAAGTTAATGACTTAAAGTGAGCAACGCCAGTGTCACAGGAAATATTTAGCATTGGTTTTGATAGACAGCCATATTTCATTTTTAAATGTGTCATAACTTGCTTATATAGCAATTCCATGACCATGCTATTATAAATTAAGCTGCTTTGAAAGTTTCCTGTGTCTAAATCTTTGTTCACATCCAAGACAGTTTCATTAACATAAGGTTCTAGAAGTAGAAATGCTGAGTCACAGGATTTGTGCGATTTTTAAGGCTTATTTATGTATTTGGCTTTATCGGTCCTTTTCTTTACATTTTTCTAGATTCCTATCATACTAAAAATGGCTTTGTGCTCCCTCAAAGCCTAAAGCCTTCACACATCGCTAGGGAGACTGAGAGCCACTGAGGCAGCAGCACTGAGAGGAATATTTGGAGGGTAAATCGGCAGGTGAAATGCAGGGCTGGGATCATTCCTAGACACAAAAGGACAGAAAGTTCTTGAAGGAGAAGGAGAAGCGAAGGACAAGCCATGGCAGGCACTGGGAAGACCACGCCCTCATCCAAGCTGGGCGGAACCTCTATGCATTGGAGAAGGGCTGTAAAGACAGCCCACATGGCACACCCCACTGCACACGGGTGTTAACACACGCACCTGTAGGTTTAGGATTATCTGGTGGAGTATACCTGAAGGGGTCGTGTTTGGGCAGCTTGGGTAGGTAGGTTCCATTTTTAGCACCTTCTTGAATATTTGCCAGGCTGTCTGCTGTCTCGTGGCAAGTAAAGCATGAACAGGCATTGAGTAAGTGAGCCAGTGGGCTTCCGGAGGCCAGGTCTGTAGCCTTGGAGTAGGAAGGGCATCGGGGGGTTGTGCTTCTGCTAAGAGGTGGTGGTGTCGCCATGGCCCTTGTCATCTTAGCAGATCCAGGAGAAGGGAGGCAGGTGGGCTACGGAGGGGAGGGTCTCAGGCAATGTGGGTGAGTATTGAGGGTCCTGTGGGAGGTGTGTGAGTCCAGGAGGCGCCTGGAAGGGTGGACAGAGGACAGATTCTGGGGTCATCAGTGGGCATCTGGGCAGGGGCGGGGTGGGCGGTAGGAAAGGACCCAGAAGCTTGGAGTGCTGTGAGCTTGTGACTGCATCCCCGAGACCTGTAGAGCACCAGGCAGTGGGGCTGAGAGAAGGGCATCCACCGCTCTGTACCACAGCTTCTCACCTCTGCTGGGGAAGGTTCGCATGAGCCATAGATGGTACCGGAGGGAATGGGCGAGGCCGTGCGTCCCAAAGGACTTTATTTGAGGGGGGAAGGGGCCGTGTACACGGGAGTGTAACAGAAGCAACAGGCACGGAGGTCTCCTCAGGGGGGACCTGGGCTGGGGGTGGAGACGGAGAACCGGCGCCTGCGCAACAGACGCCGGCATCAGTGCGCATGCCCACCGCGCCTTCCCGCCTTCCCATCAGCCCGTGGGCGCCGCGTGGTGGACGCCGAGCAGATCCGGTGTGGGTTGCGTTGCTGACGGTGCTGACTCTTTCCGTGCTGCTGGTGCCACTCGGTAGGTCCGCAGATCAGTCCTCCCTTGAGATCCAGTGTGAGTGAGTGTGAGGAGGAGCCAGCGGGCTCGGGTGGGGTGGTCGAGCTGGGCAGCGCGGTCGGTGGCCTCAGAGAAGGAAGGGTGTCGACATCCTGGTCCTTTTGCTCACAGGCAGCGTCGCCATGTCTAGGCCGGGACAGGGGTGTAAGGTGCGTGGGGGAGGGGAGAGGGTCATGTAAGATGGGCGAGTGTTGGGGATGCCTTGGGAGGTGTGTCAGTCCCAGAGGTGCCTGAAAGGGTGGATAGAGGACAAATTCCAGGGTCCTCAGTGGGCATCCTGGGAGGGGGTTAAGGCTGGTCGTGACTGGATATTCCAACATTCCTTTATAATGGAGTCCAGGTGAGATTAAATCTCTTCAGGAAAGCCCCTCCCCACCTATTTTTTTCATAGATATGTTTTTGGTTCATTTTCTGATATTAAAGGAGAGTGTCTTTTTTTTTCAATGCTTTATACTCTTTTTTTTTTTTAATTGACATAGTAGTTGAACTTATTTATGGGGCACTGAGTGACATTTCAATTTTTTATCTAGTACGTGAAGGTTACCTTTGCCAAGTTGGTTGAGAAACAAAAGGATTTGCAAATAGCCTTATATGATGTGATTGGAAAACAGGCATAGTTATTAGAAACTCAGGACTTATTTGGAAATTTCACCAAATGTAGAAAAGAGTTTAAAATCAGCAGTTGATCGTGGAAATAGCCAAGGATAATTATTCTTTTTTATTACTATTCAATTCACGATTTTCTAGTTTCAACGTGGAACATGAGTTCACTAGTAGGATCAATATCCAGAGGAAGAGGAGATGGTGAAGAGTCTTCCAGTCCGGTTGAGCCTGTGTTTGTGAGTACTTTAACATCTTATTTCCATTGGCAGAAATTTATTTTTCTGAAAAAACAAGTTTTTGAACCAATGTAGATCTATTGTATAAAGGACTTCCCTGCTGAAAATGGTTGAAAACTGAATCCTATAAAGGAGATATTGAGCAAGGAAGACTTACATTCTAGTGTTGCCTGGATATGTATGTTGATATGAGCCTGGAAAGAGTCCCTGTGACTTCCCTGTCATGGTTATTAATACACAAATAACATAGCCCAGAAAAGATTAAAATGGTTTCCAGAATTATTGGTCCTTGTTGGTAACTCCTTTCTTAGCATATTTTCTATATAGCAAGAGTAGCTTTCTTAAGACTACTCACAGAGAGCAAGATAGGAAAAAACCTCTTCAGATTTATTTGTGATTAGTTATCTCCACATAGTATGCATATTTGTGCCTTCTGTTGTCATAGTATTAGTACCGACGCTATTTATTTGCCCCTACTCTCCCCCAAGGCCCAGAAGCCCAGCGATGAACAATCTCAACAAGCGGAACCACCAACTGAGAGTCAGGCTAATGAACCTGGACAAGAGAGAAAAGGAAGAGAAGCAACTGCAGTTAAAGGGGAAAAGGGTATAAAGGAAAATTTTGTATTTCATGTATGTTATACTAGTAAGAGGATGAAATAAAGCATCCCCTGAAAACTGGCTGGAAACCTATTTGGTAAGGGAACGGTGTAGTTTTCAGTGGACTGTAGTCCCTCTCTATAAGATTTTTTTCTCAGCATTTTACCTATCTATATCTTAAGAGTTATTTGGCATGCTTGAAAAATACAGTCCTTGCCTCTGGGCCCACAAAACTTTATTTAGTAACATTAATTTATGGTTTACTGTTTATGTTAATAACTCTTTTTATTTATATAAGAACCTGAATTGGAAGGTGATCGCCAGGAAGTGGGTCTGAAAAAGACTGGGGATGAGCGTGGAGATGGCCCTGATGTGAAAGGGAAGGCTCCACCTGATCTGGAGTGTACTGAAGTTCTTGAAGAAGGTATGTTATCTATTAAGAATGGAAGTCATGGGGTTGCTCTTTTCTGCAATATTATACTTTAATAACAAATCTCACATACAAAGATGACTTGAAAGGTAGTTCAGACACCAAGTATTTGATTCAATGACAGTGTCAGGGAAGAAATAAATTAGGTCAAAGCTGTGTTGTTGAATTATAAAACATGAAAGTATTATTACTTTGGAGTAGAAGTCCTAATTTAAAACTCAAAGCAAGTGATCAAATATATTTTAAAGTACAAGGGTACTTCAAAAAGTTCATGGAAAGATTCGTATTATCTTTTAAATTCTATTTTTCCACGAACTTTTTGTAGTACCCTTGTATATAAATTACTTAACATACCCCAGTAGTAATTGGACATCTAAACAACACAATAGTATTGCTGCTTTTTTTTTTTTAATTTGCGAGAATTGTTTATCAAAAAACGCTTTATCTTTTATTTTTTTATTATTATTATTTTTTTCTTTAAAGATGACTGGTAAGGGGATCTTAACCCTTGACTTGGTGTTGTCAGCACCACGCTCTCCCAGGTGAGCCATGGGCTGGCCCCACTTTATCTTTTAGAATTTCTTCTAGATATCTTTTTTTTTTTTTTTCAGTACAGGGTTCTGAACCCTTGACCTTGGTGTCACAACACCGCACTCTAACCAACTGAGCTAACCGGCCAGCCCACCTCTAGATATCTTTATCTTTTAGAATCTTCTGGGTTGGTTTGTCGGTTTTTTTAAAAATTGTGAGACAGGCTGAGAAATGGTAGCATTTTCTCTCATATTTTTAATGGCTTTTATGATGGTAGTGGCTTAAATAAACTGGTATGGCCATGTAATTTTTATCATTCAAACCAGGACACTCTTGAGATTGAAAGAGGAAGTGCAATGAGTACTTATACTCAGACAACAGGTGCCAGTGGGACAAATGGCCACCCTACTATTAATAGACCACATAAAAATTAAACTAGATCAATGAAATAGTTTTGCACTTTTGCACAAAAGAGACAAACCAAATGGAATGCTGTTCTTTGACCTCTCTAGTCAGCTGAACAGTTCCAAGTATGACATTATTATTTTAGCTAATATATGTAATTAGTAGAGTATTTCAACTCAGTACATTTGATTGACACTATGTTTACTTGTTTGTTTTGCTTCTTAGAGTTTTGTTTAGTTGAGTTTTTTTAAAAACTGAAATTACTGGCTATTTTCCTCTTTACTTAAAATTGTCTTTAAATGGGATCATAAGGTTTAATCTGTTCTGGGCTTGAGAAGACTTTTTCCTCATACCACTGGAAAGAGTGATGCATTTACAAATTAGTGCTCATATGCCTGAAAATGCACATTAGCATACAAGTCTATGCAGTGGTTAGGATTCTGATTTTAGTTTCATCTTATAAAACCAAAACTGTAGTATCCTTTGTGTGCTTTTAATATCATCTCAGTAAAATTCTAATTAATGTACCCAACTGTTATGTTTGTATTTTAGACAATGGGCAGCCATAAGTTAAAAAGAAGACGAGCTGAAGCCACACATGCAGTTGCTATATGGAAAATTTGACTTGTTAAATTCTCTCAATAAAGATTTACAGTTTTCATTGAAGAAGCCATACGTGTCTTTTGTTAAGTCTGTTCGTAGGGAGCTGATACTATTATAAATGGTATCTTTAAAAACTCTTCATGTTCTGTTTAGAGCTGGTGTTTAGAGGTGCTATATATATTTGTATATTGATTTTGCATCTGGTAGCCTTGCTAAACTTTCTTATTCTACTACTATATCTGTACATCCTTTCGGATTTTCTACATACACAAACATACCATATGTAATTTTGTTTCTTCCTTTTGAATTTTATTGTTTTTTTGTTTTTGTTTTTGTTTTTCTTTTTTTTAAAGATGACCGGTAAGGGGATCTTAACCCTTGACTTGGTGTTGTCAGCACCGCACTCTCCCAAGTGAGCCACGGGCTGGCCCTTATTGTTTTATTTCTTGTCCTTACCTTATGACACTGGCCAGACCCCTTCAATACAATGTTGACAAGAAGTGATGTTAGTGGATATCCGTGTCATATTCCTGATCTCAAAGGGAAATCTTTCAACATTTTACTATGATGTATACTATGGGTGTTGTCTTATAGATACCTTCAGTTAGATTAAGGAAGTTATTTCTTTATTCTTAGTTTGCTAAGAGTACTTAACCACGAATATTGAATTTTATCAAACACTTGGTATGCATCTATTGAGGTGTGTATGATATTTCTTCATTAATCTGTTAATGTGGCATTACTAAACAAATCCAAGTTAAGTCATGATATATTATCCTTTTGATGTATTATTGCTGGTTCCTTTTCCTACTGTTTTGTTTAGGGTTATTATTGTTCATGAGTGAGATTGAACTATAATTTTTTTTATGTATTCTCCATGTGAAGCTTTGGTGTCAAGGTTATTCTGGCTTCATAAAATGAGTTGGAGTGTATATCTTCTTTTTCTACTTTCTGGTAGAATTGAACTAACATTGGAATTATTTCCTAAATGTTTGATAGAATTTGCCAGTGAAGCCATCTGGGACTGGAGTTCTCTTTGTAAGGAAGACAAATTAAGGATTCAATATCTTTAGTAGTAACAGGCCATAGCCAGCTGCCACCAGGACTCAGGGACCAGCTCTTTCTAGAACACTCACTCCCTGATCCTCAAGCACAGTTGTCCACTTCTCCTTTGGACCCACATCCTGACGCCTGCCCTG